CTTGTTTCCGTACCATTGCATCTCACCCATAAATTCACACACAGCCTTGGACTTCTTTAACACACACAGCCTTGAGCCTTTTAATACACACAGCATCTGTCTCACACAGAGCCTCTCAATGGCAGCCATTGCTCCAACTGCACTCCACTCCACCCTGCAACTCTCAGCAGACCATCATTATAAGGGCTGTGAGCACCTGGGCCCACACGCTGCTGGTTGACTATAAACTCTGGACACTAGATGAAGATTTCTCCCCTCCCAAGGCACTTTGAAATCTCCAAACTATGGAGCCCCATCCAGAAATATCAAAATCTGGAGAAACCTGCAACAGCAGTTTTCTCCACTCAACATCTACACTCTGCAGTTCTGCACTCCGCACATGTGCAGACCCTGTGTCCATTACCTGACCACTTCTACCTATTTTTATCTTGTGACAGGGCCCTGCACTGTTACATATATATATATATATATATATATCTTTTTTTTTTTTTGTTAACCAACTCGGATGATGACCACTGAATGGAGAAATAGTAGAAATTTCCCTTCTCTTCCCAATTACAAGAATTTAAAAAAATCACTTTCTCCTTGTTATAATTATAGGATAAATTTAATATTCTTATCATTCAAATTGTGTGGAAAACCACATACTTCAATCTCTTTCCATATGATGTACAAATAATCAATGAGCCTCTTAAACACAGTTCTGGTCTCTTATCTTTAACGAGTTCAACTCTAAAGCAAATGTTTTAATTTTTTCCACACCTATAAGAATCTTCACTTTTGGCAATAGAATTACTTAAACCCCCAGAACATTATATATTTTCTGAAAGCAGAGGTCCTGTAAAAATAAAAAGATGATAGTTGCAAATTTTAATTTTTGCAGAACAGTTTATTAAACTCAAATGTTTAGGAAAAATATTAGAAAATTAATTTTAGTGCTAACACACACAATATAATAACCATTTTGATAAAAATATATAAGGTGAGGTTGTGTTGAGTAAATAGATACCAAACATGCAGTCTTAAAATTGCGTGCACCCATGATATTGCAAAAAAACTTACAGTACCCAAAAATCTCCACTGGTGAGGCTTTAAATTCATTTACAGCTCATCAGTTCAGAGTTAACCAGGTACTCCTGTGCTGGGATTTTTTGCTCCCACTCTGACGTTTGCGGCAATATCTTACATGAGTTGTACAATTGTGCTTTTCATATGCGTGTGCACCCTGGTGCGTTTACACATGCATATGGGGCAACTGGAGTTATGGCCATTTTTTAAAATACATTTTATTATAATTTTATGTTTTTAACTTTTTTTATTTGTTTCTACTTGATTGCTATCACAAAAGGGTTAAAGTTTAGTGGTCACCTAAAGAGCCATCCCAACCATCACTGATATCATAGTTATAGATGGGGCCTAGTGGATTGAGCCAGTTCTTGGGTTCCTATATGTCTTGATACTTAAAAGCCATCCATACACGGATGAAAATTCTTCTGGTTCAGCAGAGACCAGGCTAATTTTGATCCATCTGTGGGCAGTCTGGTTGTACTGAAGTCAATCTATTGATTTTTATCATTTGATCACTGCCAGTGGCTATAGCGGCCAGCAGTGATCGTTGTATTTGGCCAGTATGGAAGGCTTCCTATCAAAAGGACACAATAGTGCTGCAGGAGGTATTCCCATGGTTGAAGGAAAGAAAATCGCATAATATATGGTTGGCCCAATGGTGAGATCTTCCTGCCATAATTCCTAAATCTCTTTTCCTGTACACCTGGGAGTTTGGCTCTTCCCATGTACCTCTCTGTGTTCAGGATTTTCCTGTTACATTATTCATGATATAACATAGATAAAAAATCCAGTAGAGAAAATGGGAGCCCCTGATGATTGAGGAAAGAGGGTGTGCTAACAAGAGTCCCCAAGAGATATAGGTTGTCAGGTGTTTTGCCTGTCCAGCACCCATCAAAAATTAAAATATCAGCTTTAGGTGGACTAAGGCCCTTCTCACACTAGTGGACCGATTGTCCTTTTTTTTCAGGTGGACCCGATCAGATCCCCCCCCGTCTCCTCCATGTAGAGGCAGAAGTAAATGGACATGTCTGTTTACACCTGCCTACATCTGATGCGATCTTATCCGCTAAAAATAGACAGACGGGGATCAGTTCCCTATCCATTTAGCGGATCGGATGGCAGTTGGGTGTAAATAGACAGGCGGTCCATTTACATCCAACCACCCATAGAGCAGAAAAGGCTGTGTCTGTGTCTGCTCTGCATAAGCAGAGTAGACACGGACCAGTCATCCACTTGCTCAGCGGGGATCAGCAAGCAGATTCAACACTGAGCAAGCGGACCCCAACGGAGCCCGCCCAGCTTGGAAGGGGCCTAACCCTTTAGGCTGAATTCACACTGATGTTGAATTCACACTAACCTGCGCCAAAATGCAGGTGCATTTCCATGCATTGTATTCAAGTTTTAATGCGTGTTGACTTGCGTTGATCTGCATTTTAGTGTACTTGTAAAATGCAAGTCAATGCATAGACGCATAAAAAGCAATTGTTTGCTATGTGCCCTGTTCACACTACAATGCTGTGTTGACCTGCGTTGCTTTAAAATGCAGCATGTCTGCATTTTAATGCAATGCAACACAACGCGGTGTTGTAATGTGAATATTACACATAACAAACAGTTGTTTTTTATAGGTCTATGCATTGACTTGCATTTTACAAGTGTGTTATAGCGCAGATCAACATAAGTCAACATGCACTAAAATGTGAATAAAAGGCATGGAAATGCACATGCATTTTCCATGCATTTTGGTGTGAATTCACTCTGAATTTCAGTAACATTGCAGGGAATATGGAGGGAACATTTCCATCCATTTTATGTACATTTTAACGCACGTTGAATTGCCTTGATCTGCGTTTTAGCGCACTTATAAAATCTCTACCATGGCACCACCTGCCTGGAGTTTGCATGTTCTCCCTGTGCCTACATGGGTTTCCTCCAGGTACTCTGGTTTCCTCCCACGCTCCAAAGATATGCTGGTAGGTTAATTGGCTCCTGTCTAAATTGGCCCTATTATGTGAATGAATGTGAGTTAGGGACTGTAAGCTCCTTGAGGGCAGGGACTGATGTCAATGTATATAATATATATATGTGTATAGCGCTGCGTAAATTGATGATGCTATCAGGGGCGGACCTACCATTTGGGAACTCGGGCACTGCCCGAGGGCCCGGGGTCAGAGGGGGGCCCCATGAGATGCCCCTGGTACCTTTTCATAGGCTTTTTTGGGTGCGGTTTGTGTGTGGGCAAGGACACAGGGGCCCCATGATCCCCTATTGCCCGGGGGCCCCATGAGTTGTCAGTCCGCCCCTGGGCGCTATATAAGTACCTATAATGAATAAATAAAAATGTATTAAAATGCAACATGTTGCTTGTCAACACAGTGTTGTAGTGTGAACAGGACACTTAAAAACTACTGTTGACCTGCATTTTACAAGTGTTCAGATCAAGGAAAGTCCACCTGCATTAAAATGCGCATAAATGGATGGAGATGTACATCCATTTTCCCTGCACTGCAAGTCACTGTGAATTCAGCCTAAAATCACATTATTGAAATACTCTCCAATGTGAATGACAGAATGTTCAAAAGTAGCACACAGGTTGTATTTATAAAACAGTCAGATCTGACTTTCACAAAACATGTATTGCAGAATAATCTTGTAGGTGGATGTATTGTAAATGACAGTTATTGATTCACCACCAGTGGATGTTTGGTGAAAGTCACATTCACTGATTTATAATTATGCCCCCCTCCATTTTTTTTACTTATTTGCCATACTCCAAAAATAAAATTGTCCGTCATTAGTCATAAGCTTGTGCTGGCAGGGAACAAACGGGAGGAGCCAAACGCTAAAAAGAAAAAAACTCAGAGGGAGTCTCTGCATAATTCACAGAAAGGGTGCTGCGGAGTCTGTGCCCTGCAGTACTGTCATAGACTGCAAGAAGCATGGACAGCCAAGCAGGACGCTGCTACACCCAGGGCTTGGGGACAAAGGCAAGTGGCTGCAAGGAGGCAACAGCCAGTCACCTTGTCTGTCTGTCTGTCTATCTGTATTTCTGCTCTGTCAAATCCGTCATAACCTTGTCCTCCTACTTAACTTGCTATCTCCACTATTTTTTCTCACCTCTTTCCATGCCTGGATCACACTCTTGTTTCATCTCACTTCTATTTCTATCATCCTTCTTCTCATTTGTCTGTCTCTTCTGCTATTGATCCTCAAAGCAATCTAGTTTTCAGGATTCTTATAAACTTAGGAGGTCATGTTCTGCACTGCTTTTCCTCTATGGTCCTTTCACACAGGCAGAGAACTAGCCATATATTATACAATTTTTTTGTACAATTTCTCTACAATGTCCTTTAGATTTACCTTCAGCTATGTAGTGCAAAGACCTGCCTGATTGGATAAAAATTGAAAGTGTTTTTTAGGTTTGACTTTATATGGGGTTTTTTTTTTTCATAAAATCTAAAGGAAAATGGTAGAAGAAGTTTGTATAATGTATGGCCAGCTTTAATGAATCGCTTTTCAGAGGCTGTTGAGCTGCAGTTTGCAGGGGTTCAGAAGGGGATACCACCGCCTCCTGATTGCCTGTATTTTTTTCAATCTCAAGGGGGAATGTACATTGACTTTACACTGAAATATCACACAGTAACTATGTGCCATATGCATCGCAGGTGTGGAAAATTGTGCAGACCTGAGCCGCCGTCATGTTAATTTGTAGGTAGGCAGTTTAGAGGGGATGTAGTTACATCACTTATTTTGACACTTGTATGAACTTAGCTTATCTCTCTCTCTGTGTCTCATTGCCTCACTCCCTTCCTCCTTTTTATTTCACTCGTCTATATTGTGCTGACACATTCTGCAGACCAAACCCTGCCTCCAGAAAAGCTTACTTTGACATATTCTAAAGCAGTTTTTCTCAACCTTTTTTCAGTCAAGGCACCTTTTAAAATTATGGACAATCTCGAGGCCCCTTTGAAAGTATGGACAATCTCAAGGCCCCCTTTAAAAGTATGAATAATTTCAAGACACCCTCCAAAATTATGAACAATGTCAAGGCACCCTTTAAAATTATGGACAATCTCAAGGCACCCTTTAAAATTATGGACAATCTCGAGACCCCCTTTAAAATTATGGACAATCTCGAGGCCCCCTTTAAAAGTATGGACAATCTCAAGGCACCCTTTAAAATTATGGACAATCTCAAGACCCCCTTTAAAATTATGGACAATCTCGGGGCACCCTTTAAAAAGGGATGGACAATCTCAAGGCCCCCTTTAAAATTATGGACAATCTCAAGGCCCCCTTTAAAAGTATGGATAATCTTGAGGCCCCCTTTAAAAGTATGGACAATCTCGAACCCCCCTTTAAAAGTATGGACAAACTCAAGGCATTCTTTAAAATTATGGACAATCTCAAGGCACCTTCCTAAATTATGGACAATCTCAAGGCACCCTTTACAATTATGGATAGCCTTGAGTCACCTCATTCTGAAATGTAAAAAACAATTCTACATAATGCATCAACATCCACACACGTACGGTAGGACAACCAATGTTTAAGGTGATTTATATTTCTAAAACAGATATAAAAGGTAGAAATATGCAAGCGCACTAAAAAGGGGAGAGCAGCTATGCACAAAGGTAACCAAGATAAAACCTCAATAAAGTTCTATAATGGTGCAGCGCTAGATACTATTAAAGATATGATCATAAAAGACAACACTGATAAAAGGGTACTAATAAAAGTTCATAAATGAGCAATAAATAAATGAAAAACAGTTCAAAGGTGACTTTAGTGCTCTTAAGGTGCCTGTTTCCCTGGTAAGCCGGTGCTTGTACAATAGTTGTGGAAGAATTGCGCACTCACCAGACGCGCAATTCAAATGCGTCTGTAAACATATATCCAGATGTCCTCAGGATAAGCCAGGTGATGGGGTGACTTCCCTCTGAAGAGTAGGTAGTACATCAAAGTATCCTGGGGCTTGAATGGTGATCCAAGACAGCCAGAGTTCCCCTTTAGGGTTGAGCGGGTGCTGTTCCCTGGGTATGCAGGAAATTCCCTCTCTGGGTACTGGGATGGATCTTTGTGTTTAGCAGGGCGTCTGAAATTTAATACTCCACCAGTAAGTTAAGACAAGGACATGCCCATAGAGTAGTAAGGTAAGTATAAATTGATTCAGGGGTAAAAGTAAAACCGATGCATCAGAAGTAACATAAGATAAGATGAGATGTCAGGACTAACCGTGCACAATCAAAGATTGCCACCGGAGCTCCACGAGGCTCCGGCAGCGTGACGTCATGGCGTAATTGGCTCTTCCTTACACATTTCGTGCGCACGCACGTCTTCAGAGGGGATTGCCAATATTGCCTCTCGTGGAGCTCCGGTGGCCATCTTTGATTGTGGACGGTTAGCTCTACAGCCAATCACTTGCTATGGGGGACACTTGTGTGTTCTCGATCCCGAGCTGCGTGCTGTGCGTCCATTGACACACAGTGTGGCTCAGCCCCGCCCCCTTCTTCGTCCTCACTGGCTATGTTTGCTGCCTCTTTTTCCAATTAGGAATGTTGCTCTCGTGCACAGTGCTGGATCGAGATCAGGCATAGGCATGCGCACAGAGTGTGCCATGTGTTCCTGGGCACACCCTAATGACCCCATGTGCTGGTGGCATATCATCCATGTGTGCAGTATGTGCGAGGCACACAGACCCCGAGGGAAAGGGGCAACCTGTGGCCTGACACAAACTGCTAGGGTTGCCACCTCATCCCTTTAAATCCAAACACATATTAATTACACAGGTTCTATGGCTGATTAAGGTGGTAATTAAACTCACTTAGTCCCTTACCTGCATTAAATTAGCCTCAGAACCTGTACTTAATGTGTTCAGGTTTAAAGGGACGAGGTGGCAACCCTACACACCGCCCATATGAAGTAAATAAAAATAAGTTAACCACATTATCCTGGGGCCCCCAAGTGGAAATACCAGAATCCATGTAAAAATTTTTTTCATTTTGGGGGCACAGGTGGCGCTGATACTAATGCAGGCCATACATGGGTCGAATTCTGAACAATAAAACCAAAAAATAAGCGAATGTGATAAACTAATAAATCAGTGTAAATAAACAAAAATAAATAAAACTAAAATCATAAATATAATTAATCAATAAATGTGAGACTCCAACCTATGAAAAACGTAAAGTGACACGTGCTCAAAATGCAAATATATCTGAATTGATAAAAATCATTAATCAATATATAAACGTGAGACTGCAACACATAAAAATTGTTTAGTGACACGTTCTCAGGGTCACAGCACCTTAAGTATTCCCACACCAGAAGGCGTCCCACAATCTGGCTCCACCGACTCCACAGATTCCAATCGGGCTCCGCTCCTAACTCAGCGCACCTCTAGCTGCCCTTTCACACAATTGGACTCAGGCATGCATGAAACGTCGCTTCCTCAGGATCGTGGCGTAACGCGTAGAGCGCATGCGCGGTGATGCACTTCCGGTAGCAGCGGAGACGCACTTCTGGTTCCTGACGCCATCTTGGTACACCCAAGTCCTCTAGTACACCCATAGCACATGGGAACTGCTGTATTGTCAAGATAATTATGTGAGTGTCCATTTTATTTGGCGTTTTTTAAGATTAAAAGCGGTATTACACTATGGAGGTCTTTTTATTTTACCCCTTTCATGCATGTCTGAGTTTAATTGTGTGAAAGGGCAGCTAGAGGTGTGCTGAGTTAGGAGCGGAGCCCGATTGGAATCTGTGGAGTCGGTGGAGCCAGATTGTGGGACGCCTGCTGGTGTGGGAATACTTAAGGTGCTGTGACCCTGAGAACGTGTCACTTAACAATTTTTATGTGTTGCAGTCTCACGTTTATATATTGATTAATGATTTTTATCAATTCAGATATATTTGCATTTTGAGCACGTGTCACTTTACGTTTTTCATAGGTTGGAGTCTCACATTTATTGATTAATTATATTTATGATTTTAGTTTTATTTATTTTTGTTTATTTACACTGATTTATTGGTTTATCGGATTCTCTTAGCGCTTCACCATTTTTTGGTTTTATGTTTGCATATCCTGGGGTATAGGGAACAGGTGACAGCAGCTTGCTTATTTATATTAGGTGTTCACACAGTTAAGCGCAGGAGGACATTCCCATTTTGAATTCTGAACAATGTTTCGTCCGGAAATCGAAAAAGTAGTTCGCTCAGTAATCCGATGGTGCCATCAATGATTTCGAAAATCGGCCGACCAACTCATAAAGTTCACCCCATATAACAGTAAATGATGTCATTATTGACCTTTTGACCTCCCCCACTATACAGAGAGGCTGACTGAACGAACATTGCAAGCGTTTTGCACGCACAAAAAATCTGTCCGAACGACACTATATTGCACGACAATGCCCATCAACATCTCCAAACAAAATATTGCCATAATGGTGCTTGGCTTGGTAGCACTGGAGGAGCAAAAAAAGAAAAAAAAAAGGAAGAGCAGGCTATGGTCCAAAGACTGGCTTCTTCAATGGGCTCTCTTACGCATTTCGTGTGCAAGCACATCTTCAGAGAGGATTGCCAATATTGCCCCTCGTGGAGCTCCGGTGGCCATCTTTGATTGTGGACGGTTAGTCCTGACATCTCATCTTATCTTATTTGTTATTTTAAAAAGAAAAAAAAATCATTTTGAAGATTACAAAAACTATTTCGTACAGGCGAAACTTCTTTGCCTTCCGGGTCACGGCTCATGCACCTATTCTTTTCGGAAAAACGATCGTACGATTTGATCATCATTGAGTCGAAAATCGGTTGTTTTTCATGAATTTTCCAATATGCCCGATCACCAAAAAGGGGAGGAACCACGAAAAGCGGCTGGTGCCATTGACCCACTAACAGAGTGATAATTGGCCGATTATTCTCAGGTCGATTTTTGGACGAAAAAAATCGGTCGAATTTCGACCCATGCATGGCCGGCATAAGATTATAGTTCTGAACCGTGCCGTCCACAGCCACTGGCAGCCCTGCTGGTGGAGTAATATGTTCTCAGTAAATCCCAAGGGTGGGAGCGGCTGTGCTCAGATCAGGTGTAACCCCATCAGGTGGTGAGGGCTGGTATGCAGCAGGTATCACTAGAAGATTACGCAGTTTTTTTTTCCTGGTAAGATAAAAAATAAATCTAATGTCATGTCTATAGTAACACTAACTATTGCTATACTATTACTACTCCTGTCAACCACTGCCTGCAGCCATCCAGCTATACAGTGCCGGGACAAGGTCATCCAGCGCCCAGGTCAAAGATGCCAAGCTGCGCCCCCCACCCCCCTTCATTCATGATGTGCAAGCTTAGGGGATCCTATGCCAGGCAGTCACTCGCTTGTCAAATCACTGTGAAGGTCAGTTTTAACACTGGGCACATGCTTGTGTTGATGGCTCTTCACTCCTGGCTCTCTCCTGGACACTTCTGTGCTCGGTGGTGCTGGCTGTGCTTTCTCTCTCTCACCTCCTTCTTTCTAATAGAGTTCTTGTGTGTCTGTGAACACTGCCACCTGTACAGGAGCACATCACTGGCAGGGAGGGGGAGGAGGAGTGAGAACACAGACTACACCACACCCCAGCTCTCTCTTCCTCTCCTCCCTGCTCCCAGCACTGGACTGACAGGTGTAGTGATGCCATTGTCACTAATCCTGTCAGCTATGTAATAGAAGGAAAGTACCCCTATCTTTACAGTAAACCATTGTGCTCAGGGCAGCCACCCCTCCCGCCCATCCATTATCTAGGCCCTGCAGCTATAGCACCTCTGAATCATAGACTGGCTGTATGGTTGCAGACAGTGTTTGCACTGTACACCAAGCAGCCATAACATTATGACCATTTGACAGGGGAAGTGAATACATAGAGGTAAGGGTACTTTCAGACTAATACGGTGCGGTCTGCTCGCAGCATGGGTTCAGTGCAGTGCATTCACTGTTTTATGTGGGTTAGCTGCGATTTGCCATAGACTTCCATTATGTTCCACTATTTTGATGCAGGAAAACTGCACTACATCAGTGTAAAAGTGTCCTACTGGGGGGGAAGCATATTTTACAGGTACAGAAAGGCTTTTGTTTTTTAAGGCTCCGTTCACACTAATGCGTTTTTTAGTACTTTTTGGGGTGCACATCCTAAAGCCATAGGCTGTGCACACCTATGGGCTCAGGTAAGTATAAGGGGGGGGGGGGGCTGGGTGGGAGCTGCAGGCAGAAGGTTTGAAGGCAGAAGGCTTGACCCTCCAGATGAATGCTGCCACCTATTCAATTCTAATGGAATGCAACAGCCGCATAGACACAGCTGCTCGCCCCAATTTTACAGGCCTGCAGGTTCTGATAAGCAGCCCCAAATGCAGACAATGTTGGACCACTAACTCGTACACATCGCATCTCAAATGGGGACAGCCAGCTGTTCCCTTACCCCAGGTTCACACCTAAGCGTTTTCCGCTGCACTTTGCAGAAACGCACTACAGTCCATTTAACATGATTTCCAATGGGACACATTCACATCTCTGCGTTTGTTTTTTGGAAAGGGCAAGGGACTTTTTTTGAACACAAAAAGTTGTGGCTTTGATTCTATAGACTTCAATGGAAATGCTGCAAAAAAAAGCATGTAGTACATTTTTTATGTGTTTTGCTGCGTTCTTGATGCGTTTTGCGTTTTAAATCTGCCTAGCAACAAAACATTTTTTAAAAAGAAAACCGCATCAAAAACGCAACGCAAAATGCAATGCAGAAATGGATCAAACGCAAACTGGCTAGGTGTGAACCTAGCCTTAGACTTGAACGGGTTGTCTGCACAAGGAACCGGATGACTCAAGCTACTTAAACATGCGGCTCATTCACGGATTATGGGCCTCAACACCCATGTGACCGAGGACTACCAGAAATGACATGGATTTTTTTACCTACAGTTAGTATAAGTACCTGAATTTGTCTTGGTATCAGCTTATTGTCCTCCCCTCTGTAAAAACACTCCAACGGGAAGAGGAAGGGGCAACGCTCTGTGCAATTCAGATTCTGATGTATATGTAATGGTCGTGCATACTGGGCACAGGAAAAGCCGTGTCTAGCGGCCATGTTGTTCTGGAATCATAGGTCGGCCATGATGGTTTTGTAAAACAGTTATACATTGCAGCAAGGAATTCCTAGGAATGTACCTCCATAGTCTTTTAAAAGATAAATTCATTATGTTTTTTATCTTATCGGTGCAATTGATAGCCCCATGTGGGGGCATGTTTTGTCGCCTCTGTTTTATGCTGATTAAAACGAATAAAAACTATTGAAATATAAAAGATAAATTCACCTTTCGTAACATGTGACATGAATGGGCTCTAATTGCAGCACTTCGTACCATAGTAGTGCATGCGCTACTTATGGAAACGCACTGCAACTGGATCGTATGGTAGCCACATGATCCAGTGCGTCTGCGACCTGCATTTGGGGTGTAGTTGCCATTGCACTGACATCCTTTGCAGATCACAAGGGCAGTGCTTTTTAACCACTTGCCTACCGGGCATTTTTACCCCCTTCCTGCCCAGGCCAATTTTCAGCTTTCAGCGCTCTCACACTTTGAATGACAATTGCGCTGTCATGCAACACTGTACCCATATGACATTTTAGCATTTTTTCACACAAATAGAGCTTTCTTTTGGTGGTATTTAATTGCCACTGGTTGTTTTTGCGCTATAAACATAAAAAGAGCAAAAAATAAAAAAAGTTTTTCTTTGTTTCTATTATAAAATTTTGCAAACAGGTAATTTTTCTCCTATACTGATGTGCAATGATGAGGCTGCACGAATGGGCACTGATAGGCAGCACTGATGGGCACTGATGAGGTGGCATGGATAGGCAGCACTGCTGGGCACTTATAGTCTGCAATGATGAGGTGACACTGATGAGGCGGCACTGGTGGGCATCGATGAGGAGGCACTGATGATGCTGCACTGATGTGCAGCACTGATAGGCGGCACTGATGGGAGACACTGCTGGGCACTGGTGGGTGGCACTGCTGGGCACTGGTGGGTGGCACTGCTGGGCACTGTTCATCAGTGCTCTGGCGATCAGTGCCGATCTGCTCTGTGACAACATGAGGAAAGTGCAGCCGACAACTGGCAACTGTATTTACTCGGTGATCTACTCTGTTGTTGAACACAGCTGATCACGTGGTAAAAAGCCGCCGTGATTGGCCTTTTACTTCATGATCAGGTGTGTCTGTAGGATACAGCAATCACAGAGATTGCTGGGTGCGTTCCGCTGGGGGCGCGTTCTGGGCGGACATCATATGAACGGACAACCGCGCTGTAGCTGTCATTCGGCTATAGCGCAGTCGGCAAGAAGTTAAACACAGTGTGAGAAACACGCAGAGATCTCAGGTTTCCTACACTGCATTCTAATGTGACCTAAAGCGCAGTGATTTATGATGGGAACGGTGGGGGGGGGTCGGAAGCAATTCTGAGTAGGTTAGGCTGGTAACAGAGGGCTAGAATTTTAGCCAAATTAGACGAAATCTGAGCCTGAAAGCACCTCCCATCTCAGGAGATGCCAGTTTAAAAAAGGCAATTAAACCGGGTGGAAATGTATTGGCATCCCATCAGTGCAGTCATTGTTTGGCAGCACCCCTGCAGCCAGGTAGCTTCGTGTGCAAACCTGCTGAATATCCTGTAATAGCCTGCAGTTGTCATTCCTCCATCCACACTGTTTTAGAATGCGCGCGACCGAATGAGAGAAAATTGAGGCTAGCTTTAGACTTTGGCTCTAAGGGCTCATGTACATGGATGGTAATACAGGCATATGGGCATAGAGCGTAAAATACACCTGTATTCTGTCAATGTAGAGAATTACGCAGCAACTGGGGTGTCCGAAGTGCTGCATATACAGGTGGATTTTATGCTCAATGCCCCACACGTGTGTTTAGGTCTGTGCGCATGACAGAAAAAAAGTGTCAGCCTCCTGGCTTCATTGTCTGGCAGAGGTAGAAAGGTAGATGAATCACAAATCTAGCTGGACAGAATCACAAGTCATTTGTCAGACAAGATAATTCACCTGTGCGTGTTTTACCTGCATTTTCCTTCATCTGTTTGCCAGGATATCATCTATAAAGATACAATGCAAAAACAGGAAACAATAAAACCGCAATAATAATAATATACGACATCTTCATCCCAAAATCTGACACTGAAGCAGGGGCGGACTGACAACTCATGGGGCCCCCGGGCAATAGGGGATCATGGGGCCCCTGTGTCCTTGCCCAAACTCAAAGAAGCCTACGAAAAAGGTACCAGGGGCATCTCATGGGGCCCCCTACTGACTCCGGGCCCTCGTGTAGTGCCCAAGTTTCCAAATGGTCAGTCCGCCCCTGCACCAAAGTACCTCTAAGCTTGCTTTCTACTATGAGCCTGGGTTCACACTGATGAGGTCCGGAATTCGCAGTGTTTCCTGTGCGAATTCCGCACCGCATCAGAATCGCACCCCGTTCATGCGAACCGCTGCGGGTGTGTATGTTAACAACACCCCGAAATTGGTCCGCAAAACGCGGAGAGATGTGCAGAATTGGATAGGAGGGAATACCCATGCGATTCGATTCTAGTGCGGACCCAAAAATGGGTCCTGCACCTATTTGGTGCGGATGCGGTGCTATTTGAGCCATACATAATGTATGACTCAAATCGCACCGCACACAACTCGCATGTGATTTGCACAGGTATGCAGTGTGGTTCCTGTGCGAATCACATGCTATGTGCCGCACAAGTGTGAACCCAGCCTTAAAGTAATTGTGAAATCCTAAATGGATGATAAAATCTGAGGATCATAAAAAGCTGCTTTGTGTTTCCCTTTTAAAAATACAACTTGAACCTTTTTATCCTTTTTCTGATGTTTGTGCTGCTGCTCTCCTGCAGGCTCTTTGTAGCAACTTCCTGTCTTTACCCTAGGTTCAGCCTGGGTTCACACTGATGCGGTGCAGAATTCGCAGCAGTTTCTGTGCACATTTCGCACTGCATCACAATCACACCCCGTTTATGCCAACCACTGCAGGTGTGTATGTTACTAAACCCAGGACCCTGTATTCACTATATCTGGTCTCCCACAGTACACACAACATGGAAATGCAATTATTTTAGTAACTCTAAACTGCTAAATACCTTTTCTGATCAGCAGTTAGAACAGTCTTGTGACTTATATCAGTGTCCAGCTGAGCACTAGTTAAAGCTTGTAGGAGGAGTTTTCTTTCTGCTCTAGGAGCATGCAGAACCCCTGACCTCTGTCTGGACAGTGCTGATTGGCCCTGTGCTGATCACATGCACTCTCCCAAGAAAATAAAAACCTCTCTAGAAATACACACCAAACTGAGCATGTGCATGTGACCACGGGTTTAGTCTGTATCAGGTGGTCATTTCAACAAGAGGAGGGGCAGAGCAGAAAGGATCAAACAACCTTTTTACATAATGCAGAGGATTAACCCCTTAGGTTCCACAGTGAGTATAACAAGCATGCGTTACTGCATATACAGACTGATTTTACTGTTGTGGATTTAGTAACACTTTAAGTTAACAACACCCCGAAATCGGTCCTCAAAACGGGGTGCTATGTGCAGAATGGGATCGCATGGGTGTGAATACAAATAAAGGGTCTTGCACCTTTTTGGTGCGGATGTGGTGCAATTTGAGCCATACAAAATGTATGGCTCAAATCACACCGCACAGCATTCGCATGTGATTTGCACAGGAATGCGGTGCAGTTCCTTTGTGAATCACATGCGATGTGCCGCAACGCACAAGTGTGAACCCAGGCTTACACCTAAGCGTTTCCTGCAGTGTTTTGCAGAAACGCAGTATAGTCCATTTAACATAATTTCCTATGGGACATGTTCACATCTCTGCATTTGCACCCGGTGCATTTTTTTGGAAAGGGTCAGGGACTTTTGTCAATGCAAAAAGTCACGTTTTTGGTTCTATAGACTTCAATGGAAACACTGCAGAAAAGCATGTAGTGAGTTTTTTTGCTGCATTTTTATGCATTTTTGCCATGTTTTTGATGCGGGTTGCATTTTAAATCTGCCAAGCAACAAGAAAATGTAAAAATACCCAAAAACGCAAAACACATAAAAAAAGCTGCAAAAACACATCAAAAATGCAGGTGCAACGCAAAACGCAAAGCAGAAACGGGTTAAACACAAACTGCATAGGTGTGAATCTGCAGCAGCTGCGTGTCAATTCTCAGGGTGGGCTTCCAGGTGGAGGCTGACCACACTTGTGCAATGAGTGTCAGCATGGTCGCCTTTCCTGGTTCACACCAATGTGGTTTTTTTAGTGCTTTTTGCAGAAACTCACTGCAGTCCATCTAACATGGTTTCCTATGGAACACGTTCACATCTATGCTTTTTTGTGCGGTTGCATTTTTTGGAAAGGTTCAGGGACTTTTTTAAATGCAAAACATTGCATTTTTGGTTCAGTAGACTTCAATGGAGATGCAGGAAATGCATGTAGTGTGTTTTGACGTGTTTTACATTTTTATATTTCAATGGTTTTTATTAATTTTAAACAGTATAAAAACAGAGGCAACAAAACACGCCCACGCAGGGGCTATCAATTGCACTGATAAAAAAGGCAAAATAGAGTAGACAACACTCTAATTCCAGTAAAGCAAAACGTATGCCCACGCAGGGGCTATCAATGGCACATAGGTTACAATAATATCAGTGAGACTCTGACTATCGCAACTAAAGACAGCTGTCCACTGTCACATCAAAACAAACAGAAAAGGAGAGAAGAAGAGCAGAGAAGAAAGGAGAGAAAGAGAAAAAAAAAAAAAAAAAAAAAAAACACCAAAGAGCAGGGGTCCACAAGCGCCAATATCAAACTCCATTACCTCCCCACACTGGCCGGGGGGAGCGTGGGAAAGGCGTATTGCAACCACGGTTCCCATATTTTCAAAAAATTTATGTTGAGAGTCGTTGCATATACTCGACATCTGTTCGTTGAGCATCATAGTAGTCATACGATCACGCACCCCCTGGAAAAGTACAAACGGACTCTTCCAGGCCTGAGCAATTGTCCTAGTGGCCGATAAAAAACAAATAGGAAGCCAACCGCTGCTGACGAGCCAAGAGGCCCGGTATGGGGCAATGAAGCAAAGCATACCGAGCGTCCCGGCGTATGGAGAGATGGAACAAAGTGAAGAGGAGGCCAAACACACGAGACCAAAAACGAACCAACCTGGGGCATGACCACCAGATATGCAGTACATCGCCACGATGGCCACAGCCCCGAAAACATCGATCACTACAGGCTGGGTTAGCCTGGGCCAGACGAGCTGGAACCCAGTACCAACGGAACAATACCTTGTAGGCTGCTTCCAGCGTGGTCGTATTAAATGAACATTTAGCTATGAGGGACCAGGCCTTACTCCAGTCCTCCGGATCCACAGTCACTCCCAGGTCGCGTTCCCACTGAACAACATATGAAAGAGAAGTGTGAGACGAGTGTCTGTTCAAAGCTGCGTAAAGAAGGGAGATAAGGCCTGGGGCGCCCGGGCGCTGCTGGCAAAGCCGTTCAAAGGCAGATTTCTGATATGGGAAAGCAGAAGTGGCCCTCAGCGAAAGCAACCAGTGCCGCAATTGAAGGTACCGAAAAAATTCCGCTGGGGGAACATCCCGAGACTCTCGAAGGACATTCCAGGTGGGAAAGGACCGAAAAGTCAAAAAGTGCTGCACCTGTGAGAAACCATGAGCCACCCACCAAGAAAATGCCCTCGGGTGATCTAGACCCGGCGGGAAAAGAGGGTTGTTAACGATTGGAAGCAGTGTTTTACATTTTTAATCTGCCCAGCAACAAGCTGCCCCCCCCCCCCCAAAAAAAAAAAAAAAAACACAAAACGTGTCGAAAAATGCATAAAAAATGCACCACAAAAGGCACTGTAAAGGGGACAAAACACACTGCATTGGTGTGATCCAAGCCTTATAGTCTCCACTGAAAGCACTTGCGACAACACAGAAGAGCAATTAGGAGAGGGCACAAAGCATTGTCACCCTATAACAGGAAGCCTAGGTTCACACCTTTGCAGTTTGCTTTTGATCTGTTTCTGCAGTGCATTTTGCATTTTGGCACATGTTGTTTTGCTGTGTTTTTAATGTGTTTTGTATTATGTTTTTTTTTCTTGTTGGTAGGCAGATTAAAAAGCAAAACGCAGCAAAAATGCACTACATGCTTTTCTGTAGTGTCTTCGTTGAAATTGCTAGAACCAAAAACACAACTTTTTGCGTTTTAAAAAAGTCCCTGACCTTTCCAAAAAAAATGCACCGGGTGAAAACTTGGAGATGTGAACGTGTCCCATAGGAAACCATGTTAAATGGACTGTAGTGTGTTTCTGCAAAGAGCTGCGAAAAACGCTTAGGTGTGAACAAGGGCCTTCATGGCAGGATCACCAAGTATTATATCAAGGAATGCTACAGATTTAAACAGACTGAAAATTACTTTTTAAATCACCTGAACAAGTTAAACGTTACTGTATATGAGATTTAAGCGATTGGACAGTAAGCATTAAACACAGCTGTCATATCTTTCCATGTGGTATGTGTAAAATGAAAGACAGCAGGTTCCTAAAAAAACTTTTCTCCAGTCTATCTGAACAAATAACAACTTCATTTTAAAACAAATTATTGTGTCGCTTGTAGGTGATGACAGCAACTTTCCCGTCCATACCATCCTGGTAGGGCTGAGCTGAATTCCAGTCCCTTCTTAGCTTGAACCCAACAGGCAGGTCCGGATCTAGCCCATCAGATCTGGGGGTGGATTAAAAAAAGCTCAAGGGGCACAATTATTATTATACAGGATTTATATAGCGCCAACAGTTTGCTCAGCGCTTTACAATATAACAGGAGACAATACAGCAACAATACAGTTCAATACAAGAGGGTTAGGAGGGCCTGATCCTGGGAGCTTACAGTCTAATGTCATCACTGTGTGTGAGTCATTGACAATCTGTCATACAGGGGTTGATTTACTAAAGCACCTTGTCTGTAAATGGTTGCACTTCCTTGCATGACCGACTACTTTTAGATTTAGAAGGGATTTACTAACAAATAGACACAATTCAGGATTTACTAATGGTCACAAAACTTAGCAACCGTCTAACCCTAGGTTCACACTTAAGCGTTTTCCGCAGCGTTTTGCAGAAACGCACTACAGTCCATTTAACATGATTTTGTATGAGACATGTTCACATCTGAACGTTTTCACCTGGTGTGTTTTTTGGAAAGGGGCAGGGACTTTTTTGAAAGACTACAATGGAAATGCTGCAGAAAAGCATGTAGTGGGTTTTTGATGCATTTGTTTAGGCATTTTAGCCTTGTTTTTTGATGCCTTTTGCATCTTAAATCTGCCTAGCAACAAGAAAAATTAAAAAAAAAACAAAACTGCATCAAAAAACGCTGTATAAACGCAGGTGCAACTCAAAACGCAATGCAGAAACGGGTCAAATGCAAACTGCATAGGGGTGAACCTAGCCTTGTGCATGCTCTCCTGCGGCAGCTGCATGTCAATTCTCAGGGTGGGCTTCCAGGTGGAGGCTGACCACACCTGTGCAATAAGTGTCAGCATGGTCGCCTTAACCTCCCTAGCGGTATTCCCGAGTGTAGCTTCGGGGTACAATGTCAGTACCAAAAGCGGTAACCCCGAGCTACACTCGGGCTTACCATGCGGCGCTGCATAGGGAGTCCCTGCAGAGCTTACCTTGTCCTTCGCTCCCGCGATGTGTCCCCTGCAGCGTCCCCGGCCATCTCCTCCAGCTAATGCCGGCATCCGGCTTCTGTGTTCCGGTCCCTGTGACGTCGGGACGTATGGGCGCCGCCTGCTGCGGGAAATTTGAAAATTGAAAAAAAAATTCATTTTTTTCAAAACGAATTTTACATAGTAAAACATTGCGGTTTCAAACCATTTCACATACATTTTGTCCCTAGTGCTTTGTCCTGTGCCCTGCCTGCATTTTGACTGTTCTTTCTGCCTGGAAACTTAGAAAAGTCCATGGCGTCCAAAAAGCATCCCTTTAGGTCAAAAGCGATTTTAGATCAGCTAGAGAACAGCGATAGTAAATCAGAACCACTTGCAGAATTGAGTGATAATGATTCGTGGGGAAATTCGTCATCAGATACTGAAAACAATTTTGGGACTTTGCTTAGTGATGTGCGAACTTGGCGCTATATTTCAAATTTCAGTGTTTTTGGTTTGATTATATTATTGAATTAAATGTATTATTATATTATTATTTTTTATGATTATTTATTAAATTATAATTTATGATTTTGTGTTTCAAATTTTATCATACCCGGATGTTTACTAGAGTCTTGTTCGGACAGATTTCAGTGAGTTATTCCTAAATATTACAGCCTACAATAAAAAAACTACATATTTCCATGCAAAATAATGGTACCGCTTTCAGCACCAAAAATCTGAAATAATCATACCGCTAGGGAGGTTAATCCGGTTCACACCAATGTGTTTTTTTAGCGCTTTTTTCAGAAAATCACTGCAGTCCATCTAACATGATTTCCTATGGGACATGTTCACATCTGAACGTTTTCACCCAGTGCGTTTTTTGGAAAGGGTCAGGGACTTTTATGAACACAAAAAGTTGCATTTTTGGTTCTTTAGACTTCAATGGAAGCACTGCAGAAAAGCATGTAGTGCATTTTTGCGGCGTTTTAAATCTGCCTAGCAACAAGAAAAATAAAAAAAAAAAAAAAAAAAAATTGTAACAAAACACAGGTGCAAAAAAACGCAAAACAACTGCATTATTATTATTAATGGCTCAAAGCGCAAAGGGTTTGCTCACGCTGTACAATGCATAGGTGTAAACCTAGCCTAAATGAACTCACCTCTTAGAACCAGGTGAACAGCAGAGAAAAGTATTTTTAATGAAATGATCTCAAGCAATTTATACTTCCTATACACATGTTGAACATTTTAAAGAATAATAAAAGAATTTTAAATTTGTCTGTATAAAGTGATATATTTGATAAAATCCAGTCATTGACTTCACTTAGTTCAGACATCTCAGTAGTGACACGACTGAGCATGCCCAGACCAGGACAAATAAAGAGTGCCTTTGTTGGCAAGCCTGGAAATGCCCTTGAAAGGAATGAACCTGTTTTTCTGAATTATGTGATTATTAAACAGGCTAACATTTTATATATATATATATATATTTCTTGGTATGCATCAATAACTATAGAACTGTTACTATGCACAGAAACACCAACATAGACATTCTAAGAACTTTTTAATTACCTTTGTAATTTTATTTATCTTTGTTTTTTTTTTTTTTTGCTTCTTATACAATATTCTTTTTTTTTCTTGTCTTTTAAATAATGCTAGTGCCATGTTTTATTCTTTTTGTTTTGGAGCATATATTTTCTGCAGTGTACACACATTAGCACTTCCATCTGGCAGCACCAGGGCTACTGGCTCAAATCCCAACCCAGACACCACCCCCCTGGAGCCCACAGGCACCCCACCCCAAAGACACACAGGCAGGCCAATTGGCCCCATCCAAATTGGCCCTAGTATGTATGCATGTAAGTTATGAACCTTGGTTTGTACACTCTTTGAGTGCTAGCTCACACCATAGAAACACAGTCCAGATGTATTTCCATATGCATGTTTTTGACACGTTCCATTGCATTTATTATGCATTCCAGTTCATTTTTCCCCTCTCATTTTCTTCAATTTAAATAGGTATATGTCCGTTCCGGTGCATTTTTTTATGCGTTTTACCACATTCCACTACTGTTCTGTGCAAAAAAAATGCATCCTGTTCTACTTAATTTTCTGTAAACGGAATGTACTGGAACTGCAAGCACTGATGTGAACTATGACACTGACAACCATATAACCTACTTTCTGTTTGTTATGGATGCAGAAAAAAAGCAACTGAAATGCATGTAGTGTGAACTGGCCCTGAGGGTTAGGGACTGATGTGAATGTACAATATATATGTAAAGCGCTGCGTAAATTGACAGCTCTATATAAGTACCTGAAATAAATAAATAGTATGTGTATGTATGAATGTAAGTTAGGGACCTTAGATTGTACACTCCTTGAGGGTTAGGGACTGATGTGAATGTACAATATATATGTAAAGCGCTGCAAATTGATGGTGCTCTATAAGTACCTGAAATAAATAAATCAGTGTGAACCAGTATACATAAATACTTATGTATGTACTTCCATGTGCATTGAACCTGCCCAGGGACTTTTGAGATATATTAACCCCTTGCCGACCACAGATAGCTGCTTGATGGCTTCACTACGGCAGGCCAGATCTGGGAGGGCGTCAAAATCACCTGTTTGCAATAGAGACAAAGAAAAGCGTTTTGGGTTTTTTTTCAAAATTTTTGCTCTTTTTTTGTTTATAGCACAAAGAAATAAAACATCCAGCAGCGAGTAAATCGCAACAAAAGAAAGCTCTATTTGTGTTAAAAAAAAAAGATAAACATTTCATATGGGTGCAGTGTTGCATGACCGCGCAATTGTCATTCAAAGTGCGACAGCGCCGAAAGCTGAAAATTGGCCTGGGCATGAAGGGGGTACAAGTGGTGAAAAAACTGCACTTTGGGCTCAGCATCTTACAAAAATCTAACACAACAATAAAGCAAAAGCAGGCCACCAAAAATGACACGAATTACTGATGTCATTAGCATATCTCCGACTCACTTGTATAAGTGTGGATACATAAACCCAAAAACAACATACTAAGCAATATGGTAGTGTGACAAGAACACCCCTACCTGAAAAAGAAGGTTTCTAGATGATCCACGCGGAGTAATATGAATTCAAAAGAATTTCAACAATACTTTGTTTGATCACATAGATCATAGGGAGGTTAAACATAAGCACGGTGTACATGTGAAAAAAATATAAAATCATGTTAAAAAACACTTAGCGTCTTCAATTTAGGGTCATCTTAGCCAATAGAGCACCATATAAGGCAGAGTTGTGTAATGATGAAATAGTTATCCTGGGTTTCCGTAGGTTTCCCGCTTTATATTTGAGTAAACCATGTATTCAGTAGGTGTGTTCCCAATATATGTCAGGGACCTCCTGGAATGTAAAAGCTGGAACACAAAACTTTTTACACATGCTTTTTAACATGATTTTATTTTTTTCACATGTACACCGTGCTTATGTTTAACCTCCCTATGATCTATGTGATCAAAGTATTGTTGAAATTCTTTTGAATTCATATTACTCCGCGTGGATCATCTAGAAACCTTCTTTTTCAGGTAGGGGTGTTCTTGTCACACTACCATATTGCTTAGTGTCTTACAAAAAATCTAAGCCTAGGTTCACACCTATGCAGGTTGCATTTGAGGTATTTTGGGTTTTTGCACTTCCATTTTGATGCGTTTTTGCGTTTTTTTTTTTCTTGTCGCTAGGCAGATTTTAAATGCATACAAAATGCAACAAAAACGCAATACATGCTTTTCTGCAGCATTCCCATCAAAGTCTATAGAACCAAAAATGCAGCAAAAAAAGTTCCTGACCCTTTTCAAAAACCGCACTGGGTGAAAACGCGGAGATGTGAACCTGTACCATAGGAAATCATGTTAAATGGACTGTACTGCGTTTCTGCAAAACGCGACAGCAAACGCTTAGGTGTGAACCTAGGGTAAATCCAAACTCCCAACAGTTGTCTTCACCAACCACAGACAATACCAGTGCTGAAGCAAAATGAAAAGGAATACAAATGTTGCGCTGTGTTACTAAATTCGATGTGTGTAGGTTATATGTATCCCATACAAAGGATCATAATATTATTCCAAAATATGTGATGTGTCCCAACATCATAAATACACATAAAAATGATGAAAAAAAAAACATTCAGAGGGTGACTCCACTATTCCACAGTGACACACCAATAAAGAAAAAGTATCAATTCACAAATCAATATACGCAGATCCGGATGGAAGTTCACCACCTATATGTAAATGTCCAAATAAAATAAGTAGTTATATGTAGGAGGGTTCCACCATCTTTGCAAATCTTGCCGTATGTTTTCCCTCGTGAATGTCAATAAGCAGTCTTGTGAATTCCACACCAATTGCAGCTTCTTACCAAATGCTAAGGCCCCAAATTCCAGGTGGTCTTATAACCGCATGTTGCCAGTAATCATCCATCCCCAGCCTTGGAACCATATGGCAGACCATAGCAACAGGTTGTTCAATGGCACTCAGGAGCTCCAGGGTACATCAGCGGGGATCCACTGTTTGCAGCTCCCTCCATGTATATTAAGCCATGTAAGGGATAAGCAAGCATTCCATACATTCCATCGTGCAACCTGCAGATTTATTGTAATAAATATCCTGCATCTACTCACATAAGTACAAGGATAAATCACATGGCTTAACCCCTTGACGCCAACCGCACGCAAATTAGAAGCCTCACAGAACTGAGCTTTTTTTCCATGGGGGCGCTAATTTGCGTACCTGTTGTTCTGCGGCGCACTCCCAGCACAAAGACCTGGTGTCACTGAGAGTCCAGGGTCCCGTTCTAGTGATCGTGACCCGGAACTCCCAATTTTGGGTCACCTGCTCGCTGTGATAGTCACTGTGAAGCCCTCCCCCCCTTGATTTCTTTCTCGGAATGGAGGAGAGAGATACATTGTATCTCTCTCTCTGTCCCTTCAGAGAGAAAAAAAAACAAGTGTGTGTGTAAAAAATAAATAATTATAAATAAAAATAATAATAAAAAATAAACAAATAATAATAATTAAAAAAAAAAAAATACCTAGATCAAGGTTTGATTTAGGTCTCTGCCAGGGTTAGTGTTTGGGTCAAGGTCAGGGTCAGTTTTTTTTTTTTTTTTTTTTTTTTTTTAGTCAGTGGGTTTTTTTTTTATTTTTAAGTTAGTATCAGTGTCAGTTAGTGGCAGGATAAGAAAAAAACATTGCGCACTATTGCTGTACTACGGGTACAAACAACTGACATACACACATGTGGTATCACAGCGATTGTCAGGAGCAGGAGAAATTATTTTTTGGTGGTAGGTAGGTTATGGTAGTAGCAGGAAATATACAGCTAAATTTAACACCTTCACGCCTAAGGGTAACACAAATCTTAACGCCTAAGCACAATTTTGCAACTTTGACATTTGTTAGTAAAAACCGTACATATCATCACAACTACTTTGTACATGCAGGTGAATTATACCTTGTTTTTTTCAGGACAAATTGAGCTTTCATTTGGTGGTAAATGGTAATGGATGTAGCTGGCCAGCTAAGACCAGTCCTAGGTTGCTAGTATATGTGTATACCAAACCTGCCAATAACCTCAGTATAGTATATATGTGCATATGTTAAAGCCAAAAGCAGAATCATTGCTGTGATTTATGTCTTTGATTGTTATATGACATTTATATATTCATTGTGTTAGCAGAAGCAGAAAAGGAAAATGTGCCTTTAAGAGTTAGTATAGAGCTGAGCCAATCACAGACAGCCTGACACTGTACAGAGCCTTAACCAATCCCAGCCAGTTTCACATTTATGCCTGTGTAAAACTTCCTGCTAGGATTTTCTAGAGACACATGCTCACCAGACAGAAGAGGAAACAGACAGTTCCAGTCAGAGAAGCTTTATGGAGACAGAGAAGGCCAAATAGGTATTTAATGCACTTGTGTGTTCCTCTATTGTTTGGCAGTGCAGGTGGATCTGTATGTTGAAACTGTTTGTGTGTGTTTTACTTGTAGTTCCACCGAATATAACAAATATATCAAACGAACGAATATATCGAACAAACTTATCGAATATAGCAAATCGAATTTACTGAATCTAATGAATTTATCAATCTATTGAATCAACCCAATGTAATACAAGTTAAACCATTGTAATATGAAAAAATAAGCCATTGTAAGCAGTGTTATATGAAGAAGATTGAAGTTAAAGAAGTTAACTAAAGTATTCGGTGTGCTCTTTAAACCTACTGCATCCATAGAGCGGCATTGGAGGAATTACAGAGTAAAGTCAGTCTAATCAGACAAAGAAACAGCAATTGCATAATTTTTCTAATGCCACAGCGCACTAGGCACCAAAGGGTGCTGCGCCTGCCACAGTGGAACTATTACCCTCAGAGGTCAAGCAACAGCGCTCCTCAACTTGCACAGTAAAGAGTACACTAGAGAAATAGAGCGCCAACATATACCGCCACGCGGAGACACCTCAGCGGAACAGTACAGGCCATAGCACGTGCGCATTAGTCAGACTGCAACAGACTCTTAAAGTGGCATAACGGCAAAGGCAAGACAGTCAGAGAAAGAGCGCCAAACCTCCTGCACCCCTAGAGAGAGAAAGAGATGCATGGGGGGAGGGCCAGAGTCCAGAGCTAGAGTGCCCGCACCGCTATCCATCAAGAGACCACGTGTTGCATCCAGAGAGTTCACGCAGAGCATAGCAAGTTACCGCAGAGTATCGCAAAGTCACCGCAGAGCATCGCAAAATTACCGCAGAGCATCGCAAAGTTACCGCAGAGCATCCCAAGTTACCGCAGAGCATTGCAAAGTCACCGCATCAAGAAAAGTCTCCTTTAAGACTGACATTTGTTTCTGCAACCTTTGTGCTGTTCCCCTCATATTTGTTATTTAACTGTGCATTGTATCACCAATTCTTATTTCACCATGTTTGTTTCTATGTCTTGATCTGTTGCTGCCATCTGCTGGCCAGAATTTGCATGCTGCATGCCTTTGTTATAGCTAGTAAGTGTTTTCTCTGCTGGGTGTGGTTTTAGGCAAGCCTTGGTCCTGGTCACTTCCTGCAGCCATTTTTTATGTGCTGTATAGCTGTGTGACAGGACATTCAATACCCTGGGCTTGTGAAGGCATCAGTTTTTGACCAGCAGTTAGCCTCAGGAAAGATATCACAGGACAGCATCAATACCTCTACTACCTTACAGTATTGTATCACGTTTGTCGCTGTATTTTGGACCAAATAAACCCACGCTGATTTCATTCCCGTGTATACGTTTGGATCCATCTAACCTGAACATCTGCCGGTCCGGTCTGCTCCACTGCTTGGATACGAAGGTAGGAAGTTACACAGCCATTATCAGTTATACCTTCATTCGCCTTCATGTGGGGACAGAACAGTCAAAAACTGCCTTAAAGTCCATACCCCGCTACAGATTCCCTCAGAGTCCAGTACCACACTCAGGAATCTCCCTAGCAACAGGCCCACTTGCAGCAAATCTGCCCGGCTACAGTGCATGTTCCACAAGCCTATGCGGAAGCACTGCACATACGCAGTATCTATACTCTTGCCTGGAAGTCCTCCACAACTCGCCAAGCCATTCTTTACATCCTATATTAACCTTTCCTCGCATAATAGAAGTACTGTTTATGCACGTTCCTTACACTGCCGTGGCCGCCGCAAAACCCCGCAATTCATTCTAAATATCTTAGAAATTTTGTCAAGGTGCCCTATCGGAGCTGTACGTACGGCGATTTTCAGCATCCAATTCAAAAGTTCATTTTCTTAAAGAAACAGCGCACCTTAAGTCAAAATGGCCGAAAAGGACTTTGCACAGTTCCCCAGTGATGAAATAAAGCAAATGCAACCTGATACTGATCATTATGAAGGGCAGGGAACAGAATCCACACTTCCAGCAGAACAAGTCGTGCGACCAAGACGCTCTCTCAAACCGACGGTAAAGGTCATCGAAAACTATCACACCACAAAAGATGAGCTATGTGATAACCTGGAAGAGCAATGGGAACGAGTTTCCTCCCTCATGTCCGGACTTAAATCCTCCTCAGGTGATGCCACAAGCTTACAAGTTGCCATCGGGCGGCTCGACACAGCTCAAGAAAGATACAAGAGACTGTCCACAAGGTATATAACCTTTCTAAAAGACTCTAATATCGATGAAGCCCTATCAGAACTGAGCAAGGCAGAATCAATAGCCAGACAAAGAGACGTCATGGTGCTGGATGTTAAAGGTAAAGCGGAACTCCGTATCTCTCGCATTTGCAAGAAACTAGATCACACAGATCAAATTCATCTAAACATTCCTCTCTGTCATACAAATCATCGTGCTCAAGAAGCTCAGCCTTGAGCGACAGATTACTAGAGGCCCGCATAAACGCAGAGCAATCCAAAGCGAGACGCTCCTTCACAGAAAAAGAAGCTCTTGCAAGGGCAGAGGCCAAGAGGGCAGAGGCCAAGAGGGCAGAAGCTGAAGCAGCGGCAGAGGCCAAGAGGGCAGAAGCGGAAGCAGAGGCAGAGGCCAAGAGGGCAGAGGCAGAAGCAGAGGCCAAGAAGGCAGAAGCGGAAGCAGAGGCTCAAATAAAGATTTTTGAATCAGAGATGCAGGAGGAAATTGCGTTAGCTAAAGTAAGACTACTTGAGCAAGCATTGAGCCAAGGTCTTGATCCAGTCTGCTTGCTACCACAGGAGATAGATGATCCAGTTGACCGCACCAGTGACTATGTACTGAATCAGGTATCTGCGCCACCCCCAGTTTGCAGTACCGTCCAAGCCGACAACACTGAAACCTCCAAGTCAGCTCTACCTGCGGTACCACTGCCACCCACAGCACCCGAGCAACCTAATAACCGTTACCCGGATGTGCCCTCTCAAGGACGGTTGTTACAGAAAGATCGCTATCAGGCGTTTTCTGGCCTACCTCCACAGCTCAAGCAGCAGTCATCACAACATACAGAGGCTAAACGAAAGCTTAACCCTGCAGCTACATCATTCTACCCGGAAGCATCTCACCCTTTCACGCCAGGCAGCTCATACGCCCCAGGGGCATCACAAGTCGTCATGGCCACAAGCAGTGAGAAATCAGATATGTCTGAGTTTGCCAGGTTTATGGTGAGCAGAGAGCTAATCAACACCAGTCTCTCAAAATTTGATGACCGTGCTGAGAGCTACAGAGCTTGGAAGGCAACCTTCAAGGCCGCCATCGCTAACCTCAACCTAACCGCAGAGCAGGAGTTTGACATCTTGATCAAATGGTTGGGCCCAGGCTCCACAAATCGTGTGAAGAGCCTCAGAACTGTCTACGTGGGACAAGCAGAAGCAGGTCTCGCTGCCGCCTGGCAGAGACTCGAACGTACCTTCGGCAGTGCAGAAGCAATAGAGAAGGCCCTATTCAAGAGACTGCAGAACGTTCCAAGGATCAATCTCAAGGATGTCCAGAAGCTTCAGGATTTAAGTGATCTGCTCATGGAGCTGGAGCTTGCCAAGGGTGACCCTCGTCTGTCCGGGCTGTGCTACCTGGATACAGCTCATGGAGTGAACCCAATTGTTGTGAAGCTACCATACAGTCTACAAGAAAAGTGGGCGGCATCAGTCTCAAGGTACAAAAGAGAGCATGACATCACCTTTCCCCCATTTATTCACTTCTGTAGGTTTATCGATGAACAGTCCTAGATGAGGAATGACCCCAGCCTCGACTTCCTGGAGTTCAACACTACAGCTTCAGCAACATCATCATCAAGGTATGAAAGCATCATGCATAAACACAGAGACTGCAAGAGCAGCGTGAGTGTTAGAAAGACTAACCTACCATCTCCTGCAGTACCCACGGGTAAACAGTACACTACCTCATCAGGAGATAAGACCTTCAATCGTGAATGTCCCATTCATAAAAAACCACACTCTCTGAACAAATGTAGAGGGTTTAGATCCAAAACCATACAGGAGCGCAAGAAAATCCTCACCGAACTCGGGGTATGTTTCAGATGCTGCGCTTCATTGGAGCACATGGCTAAGGACTGTAAATCTGTCATCATGTACGAGGAGTGTCATAGTGAAAGACATGCCTCAGCTATGCACCCAATCTCACTCTCCAGAGATTCACCCACTGCCGTCACCACCAGTCCTGCTCCAAGTCATGGCGGGGAGCCCCCAAAATTACGCTAATGCAGCGACTGCTGTTTCCTGCTCATGCCTGGACGTATGTGGGGAGGGCCAGTGCGAGAAATGTGGTGCCCGAATATGCCTGATCAAGGTCTACCCAGAGGGACTACCAGAAAAGGCAGTAAAAATGTATGCCATCATTGATGACCAAAGCAACCGGTCCCTAGCAGGTCCTAAATTCTTTGAAGCCTTTGGAATAAAGGGACCATCCGAACCCTATACCTTAAACACCTGCTCGGGCCGCATAGAGACTAGCGGCAGAAAAGCACAAGGATTTATCGCTTCTCCTGTCAGTGGGGATACGGAAATACCCTTACCGACGCTGATCGAATGTGATCAAATACCCAACCATAGGGATGAGATTCCTACCCCAGAAGCTGCATTTCACCAACCTCACCTAAGGCACCTAGCCAACGTTATCCCACCTATGGACATCAACGCTGAGATTCTACTCCTGCTCGGCAGAGACAATCTAAGGGTACACAAGGTGCGCCAACAGTGTAATGGTCCTGACTATGCGCCATACGCCCAGAGACTGGACTTGGGATGGGTAATCATAGGAAATGTATGCTTAGATCAACCAAAAATCGACTCCTTCAAAACGTACGTGCGTGCAGATGGACGCACAACTTGCATTAAGCCATGTCCTCATCACTATGAGGTGAGAGAGAAGTCTCCAAGCCTCGTACAACTACCTGACGTCATTACTCCCCTCTTTGCCGACAACTTGGGGAGATCAGTCTTTCATACAACCAAGGACGACGATAAAGTAGCCTTGTCAGTAGAGGACAGAGAATTTGTCGAGATAATGGACAGTGAGTTCTTTAAAGACGAAACCAATCACTGGGTTTCTCCATTACCCTTCCGAGCTAACGGTAAGACTCCCGAACAACCGGGAACAAGCTCTGTCTAGATTTAACTCTCTTCAGCGTACCATGAACAGCAAGCCTGAAATGAGAGAACACATCGTCGCCTTTATGGATAAAATATTCCGTAACAACCATGCAGAACCAGCTCCATCCTTAAGGAAGAATGACAAGTGCTGCTACTTGCCTTCATTCAGAGTATATCATGCCACAAGACCTATGTCTGTAGGTTCCTTTACTAACTCTACTTGGCTTACAGGTCCGGAGTTTCTGCTAAGACAGGCGGACGAATGTGTACAGGAAGTTTTCAGCATCCAGGATCCGGATAATGATCCAGAAATTCGCGCTGAAGTTAGTGTATTGGTCACTGGAACAAAGCAAACCTCCAGCCTCGGTTGCCAGTGCTTTGAACATTTCTCCAGTTGGATGAGACTCGTCAGGACTATCGCAAGGTTAGTGCACATTGCGAAATGTTATCACAATACTCACGAAGATAAGGATTGTCACGGTTGGCACGTCTGCCATAAACCCTTCTCTGCGGAGAACATCTCTCATAGTGAGTCCCTCATAATACGTCATGTCCAACAAGAGGAATTCAATGTAGAATGGAAGTGCTTATACAACAAACAGCAGATTCCAATAAAAAGCCCTCTTGCCAACTTAAATCCAGTTATTGACAGTTTTGGCTTGCTCAGAGTTGGTGGTCGTTTGAATCAAGCCCACCTAAGAGTTGCAGAACAAAATCCTCTCATCATTCCCAGCAAACACCATATCACCGTCTTGCTGATCCGACACTACCACAAAAAGACTGAACACCAGGGCAGGCAAATCACTGAGGGCAAGTTACGTCTGCTGGCCTTTGGATTATAGGTATGAAAAGACGTGTGGCCAAGTATTGCATGACTGTGTTCACTGTCGCAAAGCTAGAGGAAAACAACTACACCAACAAATGGCTGATTTGCCTGCGGACAGACTATGTACAGAGCGCCTTTCACCTACGTTGGCCTAGACGTCTTCGGGCCATGGATGGTGTCCGCATGCAGGACTCGTGGCGGTCACGCAAACAGTAAGCGTTGGGCTGTACTATTTACTTGCATGAGTGTGCGAGCCGTTCACTTAGAGGTCATAGAATCCATGGACACATCCAGCCTTATTAATGCCTTAAGACGGTTCTTCGCAATCAGAGGACCAGTGAAACAGTTGAGGTCTGACCGTGGAAGCAACTTCATTGGAGCCTGTAGAGAACTGAACATAGACACCAAATCCATTCAAGATCACTTGGCGGAAAAGGGTTGCACCTGGATTTTCAATCCTCCTCATAGTTCCCACATGGGGGGCTCCTGGGAGAGAATGATCGGAATCTCACGCAACATCTTGAATTCTATGTTGATGGATGTAAACTCTTCAAGACTTACACATGAGACTCTAGTCACCCTTCTCGCTGAAGTTTCAGCCATCATCAATTCTAGACCCCTCGTGCCAGTATCTATGGATCCTGAAACACCAGCTGTACTGACTCAGCAGCTATCCTACTTACCCAAAAAGCTGAGATTACACTAATGCCTAGTGGAGAATTTACTCATGCGAATATCTACCAAAAACACTGGAAATGTGTACAATACCTAGCTGATTACTTCTGGAACAGGTGGCGAAAGGAATATCTCAATATTCTTCAAGGAAGAAGAAAGAAAGTGGCAACACCACAAACCAAACCTAAAAGAAGGTGACCTCGTGTTAATGAAGGAGCAACACACCGCACGGATTGACTGGCCTATGGGACTAATTACAAAGGTTCTTCCTAGCAAGGATGGCAAGGTCCGTAAAGTGGAGTTGAAGATCTTCAGAAAGGGTGAGCTTAAAATGTTTGCAAGGCCAATTAACTAACTCATTTTTGATACTACCCATCGAGAACATTCCTGCTGTGGGTGAACTCTACTGAACTTGAATTTTGTGGTTCTTCTCTATTCCAACTTGGAATCTACTATATTGTTATGTTTATTGCATTCTAAAATGTTCTTTGTTACAGGTTGTTTTATATTTTATGGACATTCGTCATAGTGAAATCCCTTATGGAATTTCAGACGGGGAGTGTGCTGTTCCCTCATATTTGTTATTTAACTGTGCATTGTATCACCAATTCTTATTTCACCATGTTTGTTTCTATGTCTTGATCTGTTGCTGCCATCTGCTGGCCAGAATTTGCATGCTGCATGCCTTTGTTATAGCTAGTAAGTGTTTTCTCTGCTGGGTGTGGTTTTAGGCAAGCCTTGGTCCTGGTCACTTCCTGCAGCCATTTTTTATGTGCTGTATAGCTGTGTGACAGGACATTCAATACCCTGGGCTTGTGAAGGCATCAGTTTTTGACCAGCAGTTAGCCTCAGGAAAGATATCACAGGACAGCATCAATACCTCTCTACCTTACAGTATTGTATCACTGTTTGTCGCTGTATTTTGGACCAAATAAACCCACGCTGATTTCATTCCCGTGTATACGTTTGGATCCATCTAACCTGAACATCTGCCGGTCCGGTCTGCTCCACTGCTTGGATACGAAGGTAGGAAGTTACACAGCCATTATCAGTTATACCTTCATTCGCCTTCATGTGGGGACAGAACAACCTTCAGATCACGGTATCCTGTTCTTCAATTAAGGTCAGAGCTTTCCTTTATTACTCACTTATGCACATAGGTTTCTGCAAGAGACATTTTTTGTGCTCAAGAGAATACAGACTTTTAATAAAAGAGAGACATTTATAGTATATGATTCTGAAGTATTTAAAGTGAAAGTCATTTATTGCCTGTGTTTTGATGCTATTACATGTAAAGTGAAAAGTCATTTATTGCCTGTGTTTTGATGCTATTACATGTAAAGTGAAAGTCATTTATTCTTGCATTTGTTAGTATTGCATTTAAAGTGACAGGTCCTTATTATTCATATTAATTGTTATAGCATTCAGAAATGGCTGAGCCTAGCATTGCCACCCCACTGTTAGCGGATGCAATGATAGATATGGTAGAAGGTGAAGAGCAAGAGAACCTGTCTGAATCTGAAAGGTGCAATGTAACGGTAGTCTCGCCCCAAACAAATATAGCTGAAACAGGTGAACTAAGACGTTCATCACGGGACAGAAAAACTGACCCAAAAGGTGCTAGAAAATTTGGAGCAAGAGGCAGCACTGAAAGGAAAAAAGTTCGCCCGAATGTATGAGAGGTGGAAAGTATACACCATAGACATTCGCAGAAAGCTAAAACAAGAAAGCATAAAGGAGAATTTGAGTGAAATGATAGAGATAGTAGAAGATTCTGAGTCAGAGCTTATGACAGCATATGTCAACTTGCGGTCGTCCTTGACACCCTCCCAGGATATTGTAAGAAACATGGATACATGTACCGCAGTCACTAGGGATTTAGTGAAGCTTATGAGAGAACTATCATCTGCAGCAAAGTATGATGAAGTCAAGGCACGAAAGGGAATGAATGAGCTCTTCATGAAAGACTATGCTAGGTCCTTAGGAGGAACCACAATCACTATCAGAAGCGCCAGCCACATAACAGACTTCTCAAGTACGTCAGCCAAAAGAAAGGAATTAGCTGAACAACTCGCTGCCAAAAGAGCAGAAGTAGAGATGGAATCTGCCATTTAGGCTCAGCGCCAGGAAATGGAAGCTCAGCGCCATAAAATGGAAGCGGAAATGGAGGCTCAGCGCCATAAAATGGAAGCCGAAATGGAGGCTCAGTGCCATAAAATGGAAGCCGAAATGAAAAGTCTGGAAAGGCAGAAGGAAGTTAAGATTATAGAAGCCAGACTCAGAGTGCACGAAGAGGATACGAATCAGGGTAGTCATAGATCCAAATCAGTACTAAGTGGAGAAGCTGACTCCTACGTTCTTCCTTACGCCCAGGAAAATGGAAGGAAATCTGCAGCATGTAGTGAAGAAATAAGTCATAGTCCTTTCATCCCTGCTCAGAGACAAAAGAAGAGAGACTCACCTGATTCAGAACAAACTGGAAAAGAGAACCAGATAAGTCAACTCCCATATGTCATGGCAGTGGTCACGAGGATGTTACAACTGTTGACCCAGCGAAACCTCAGAGAATATTTCTCACTAGACTTCCTGTTCCGGAACTACTGTATTCTCTGGAGACGTACTAAAGTTTATAGAATGGAAGGCAAGTTTTGAAATGATCATTGAACATAATTGCTCCCGTCCAGTGGACAAGTTATTCTACCTCCAGCGGTATACTGGCGGAGAAAGCAAAAAAGGTTCTTGAAGGTAACTTCTATAGGAAAGATGAAGAAGCCTACAAGCAAGCTTGGGAAAAATTAAATGCAAGATATGATCATCCCTTCTTAGTACAAAGAGCTTTCAGAGAGAAGTTGATAAACTGGCCTAAAATAGGTCCTAAAGAACACTTCAAGCTCCAAGAGTATGGCGACTTCCTGCAAGCATGCAGCAATGCTATCCCACATGTTCAAGGACTAGAAGTATTGAACGACTATCTAGAAAACCACAGGATGCTAGCCAAGCTACCAGAACAAGTGGCTTCTGGATGGAATCGCTATGTGACTAAACAGATCAAGGCAAAAACTTCCCAAGTTTTTAAAGAGTTCTCTGAATTTGTCAATGAGGAAGCACGAATAGCGTGTAATCCAGTAACAGCATCTTATGTCTTAAAACCCTTAGAAGAAAGGCCTACAAGAGAGATAAGACGCTCAAGAGCAACTAGCTTTGCAACCAACACAGCTACTAAAGGTCCAGATGCCCATGAGAGCAAGTTCAATGTCATTACTGGGATCAGTAAAGAGTCAGAACTGACAAGTCTTCAGACTACCTTCAAGTGTATGTTCTGTGAAGAGAATCACTCCATACATAAGTGCCAAAGATTGAAGGAAAGGTCTCCAGACGAAAAGAAGAAGTTTGTGCTTGATAATCAGCTGTGTTTTGGATGTTTAAGAGAAAAGGCCATATACTACTAAAGAATGCAAGAAAAAGGCCACTTGCAGCATTTGTAAAGGACGTCATCCTACACCACTACATGAAGAACGTCCAAAGAAAGAGAAATCCTTAATGCCTAAGGACACTGAGGAAGAAAATAAAGCAACAGTATTCTCTTGCAGAGTGAGAGAAAGAGAAATCAATGGCACGTCAATGGTTGTACCAGTGTGTATTTCAAATCCTAAAAGGAAGAACAAGAAGGTATACGCCTATGCGCTACTGGATGCCCAGAGTGACGTCACCTTCATTGATCAAGAAATCTGCAAGAAATTACAAGTGGCCACAGAACCAGTGAAACTCAAAACTCACCACAATGACAGGAAGAGACACATTGGTGAACAGTCAAAGGACTGAGAGTTAGAGGACTCCACTCAAACTGCATATTAGATCTACCTCCAGCTTATACAAAAGACGACATACCTCTAGATCGAGATCGCATACCTACCTGTGAAACAGCCAACAAAATGGGAACACCTATCTGTCATATCTCATGAAATGTCCCGCGCTGAAGGAATTTGGTGTTGGACTGTTGATAGGCTACGACTGTCCGAGGCCTTGGTGCACGAAAGATAATCGCAGGAGGAAAGGGTGAACCCTACGCAGTCCAGACTGATCTAGGATGGGGTGTTGTTGGAGGAAAACGACAGATTGCAGATTCAGGACAGGTGACAGGATTGTGTCATAGAATATCTGTCCAAGAGTTACCAACTGTAAGTCCAGCGAAAAGTACTCAAAATTCTAGAATCGGACTTTGCAGACGTAAGTTGTAATGAAAAGAGTGTCTCCCAAGAGGACATAAAGTTTGTACAAGTTCTAGAAGATAATATTCAGCAAAATCAACAAGGTTATCTTGAAATGCCCCTACCTTTTAGAGAACGACCTCATCTGCCAAATAACAGAGATCTTGCCCTGGCAAGATTGAAAAGCTTAAAGAAAAGGATGGGAAGAGATCCCAAACTGAAAGACGATTATTTGAAATTCATGAAAGAAATCCTCAAAGAAGGGCACGCAGAGAAAGTTGATGGTCAGCCTAAAAATGGAGAAGTGTGGTACATCCCACATCAAGGTGTCTATCACCCAAAGAAAACCGGAATAAGATCAGAGTAGTTTTTGATTGCTCAGCAAGGTACAATGATGTTGCATTGAACGATCATCTACTTAAGGGACCAGATCTTACAAACACTGTACCTGGAGTACTCTGTAGATTCAGAAAGTATCCCATAGCAGTCATTGAAAGGATGTTCCACCAATTTCATGTGAAGGAAGAAGATAGAGACTTCCTGAGGTTCCTATGGTGGGACGGGGAGACGGAGATACAGATACAGAGCCAGCAGAATACAGGATGAAAGTACACTTGTTTGGAGCAGCATCATCCCCAGGTTGTGCCAATTATGGTATGAAGTATCTGGCCAATCAGAATGAAAAGGATTGTCCATCAGCAGCAAATTTTTTGAAGAAAAACTTTTATGTAGATGATGGTCTTATAAGCCTAGAATCCTCAAAATCGGCAATTCAATTGGTGAGAGAGAGCCAAGAGTTATGCGCAAAAGGAAACCTGCATCTTCACAAATTCATCTCAAACGACAGAGAGGTACTAGAATCTATCAGTGACTCCGAACGTGCATCAACAATAAAGAATGTGGATCTTAACTATGATCCTCTTCCAGTTCAGAATGTACTCGGATTGGGATGGAATGTAGAAAACGACAATTTTTTCTTTGAAATATCCATGGAAGAGAAAGTTCCAACTAGACGTACCATTCTTTCCACAGTAGCCTCAATATATGATCCGTTGGGATTCCTATCACCAGTAATCTCAGAGCAAAAGAAATACTGCAAGAATTATGCAGACAGAAGTTGGGATGGGACGAACCCCATACCTGCAGGCTTGAGGCCAAGGTGGGAGAGTTGGATAAGAGACTTACAAAATTTGAAAGAAATTCGGATACCCAGATGTTTTGTACCTCCTGATTTCGGAAAGTACAAGAAAATAGAACTTCATCACTTTTCAGATGCCAGTAGTCATGGTTATGGTCAGTGCTCCTACATCAGAGTAATAGGAGAAGAAAAGATACACTGTGCCCTAGTTATGGGAAAGGCCAGAGTAGCACCCAACAATATTCAGACAATACCAAGACTCGAACTAACGGCAGCTGTCGTTTCAGCATCAGTAAGTCAGTTTCTGAAAGAAGAATTGGAATTGAAAATAGATGAAGAGCATTTTTGGACAGACTCACAAGTTGTCCTATGTTACATAAACAATGAAGCTCGAAGATTCCACACTTTTGTCGCTAACAGAGTTCAAAAAATTCGAAAAACTACAAATCCAGAACATTGGCACTATGTTGACACAAAGCAAAACCCGGCAGATCATGCTTCAAGAGGCCTAAATGTAACAGAGTTGAAGAATTCAAACTGGTTCACCGGTCCAGAGTTCCTTTGGAAAAAGGGAAATCATACCCAGTGAAGGTTATACAGAACTGTCTATGGGTGATCCAGAAGTAAAGGTAGTTCAAACATTGAGCACTGCCGCCAAGTGTCAAGATGACATACTTGAACGACTAGCCAGATGTTCAAAGTGGAATACAGTCATAAACATAGTAGCTCGAATTCAACGCTTAGCAAAAGGAATCAGAAAGAAGGAATCGTTGAATGTAGAGGAAAGAGTGAAAGCTGAAGAAACGGTTATAAGACTCATTCATCAAAGATTCTATAGTGAAGAATTGAAGAGACTTAGTCA